CCAACTGTAGGCCACTTCGTGGTCTTCGAGTTCCCAGAACTCCATTCCCGGGCCACATTTTTTAATGCTGATGCAGGCTGATGTTGAGGCTGCTGCAGGCTGAAGCTGAGGCAGGCTGAGGCTGAGGCCGAGGCTGAAGGCAGACTGAGGCTGAGGCTGAGGCAGGCTGAGGCTGAGGCTGAGGCAGGCTGAGGCTGAGGCTGAAGCAGGCTGAGTCTGAGGCAGGCTGAGGCTGAGGCTGAGGCTGATGCAGGCTGAGGCTGAGGCAGGCTGAGACTGAAGCCGAGGCTGAAGGCAGATTGAGGCTGAGGCTGAAGCAGGCCGAGGCTGAGGCTGAGGCTGAGGCAAGCTGAGGCTGAGGCTGAGGCAGGCTGATGCTGAGGCAGGCTGAGGCTGAGGCTGAGTCTGATGCAGGCTGAGGCTGAGGCAGGCTGAGGCTGAGGCCGAGGCTGAAGGCAGACTGAGGCTGAGGCTGAAGCAGGCTGAGGCTGAGGCTGAGGCAGGCTGAGGCTGAGGCAGGCTGAAGCTGAGGCAGGCTGAGGCTGAGGCAGGCTGAAGGCTGAGGCAGGCTGAGGCTGAGGCTGAAGGCAGACTGAGGCTGAGGCTGAAGCAGGCTGAGGCTGGAGACTGAAGCCGAGGCTCATGCCAGACGAGGTTGAGGCTGAGGCAGAGGCGAGGCTCGCGGCTCGCGGCTGGAGGCCCGAAGGCACGCTGAGGCATGCTGAGAGTCTGGGCCTGAGGCTGATAGCAGGTCCGATGGCTGAGGCCCTGAGAGCTGAGTTGGGAGACGGAAGGCAGACTGGGCTGAGGCTGAGGCTGAGGCAGGCTGAGGCTGAGGCTGAGGCAGGCTGATGCTGAGGCAGGCTGAGGCTGAGGCTGAGGCAGGCTGAGGCTGAGGCCGAGGCTGAAGGCAGACTGAGGCTGAGGCTGAAGCAGCCTGAGGCTGAGGCTGAGGCAGGCTGAGGCTGAGGCTGAGGCAGGCTGATGCTGAGGCAGGCTGAGGCTGAGGCTGAGGCTGATGCAGGCTGAGGCTGAGGCAGGCTGAGGCTGAGGCCGAGGCTGAAGGCTGAGGCTGAGGCTGAGGCTGAAGCAGGCTGAGGCTGAGGCTGAGGCAGGCTGAGGCTGAGGCGCGAGGCTGGTGGTGGGCTGTGCAGAGGGGTCCGGTCTGGGATGGGGAGGGGCAAGGCAGACTGAGGCTAGGAGCTTGAAGCAGGCTGGGCTGAAGGCTGAGGCTGAGGCTGAGGCAGGCTGAGGCTGAGGTAGGCTGAGGCTGAGGCTGAGGCTGAGGCAGGCTGAAGGCAGGCTGAGGCAGGCTGAGGCTGAGGCCGAGGCTGCAGGCAGACTGAGGCTGATGCAGGAGCAGGCTGAGGCTGAGGCTGAGGCAGGCTGAAGCTGAGGCTGAGGCTGATGCTGAGGCAGGCTGAGGCTGAGGCTGAGGCTAATGCAGGCCACTGCGACTGTCATCGCGAATGCGACTACGACTGCGAGAACAGCAGAACTCTACAACTGGATTCTCATCTGAATCTTAAGGGGGATGCTTCCAGATATGCTCCTACACATCGCTGTTAGGTTGCTTTGCCGGGATAATTGTTACCGGTTCCGTCGCCGTTGTTTGACTGGTTCGGCTCCGGCTCCAATCCTGGAGCCGTTTTTTTGCCGTTTCCGGTCGCCGTTTCTTTGCCGTTTTCATTTTCAAGGGACTTTTTTTGGAAACGGTGAAAAAAACGGCCCTGCCGTTTCCGGGGCCCACAAAATGCGAGAGAGCGCAGGGAGACGGGTAGGAGGAGAGGTGGGAGCAGGATTGAGAAGAGGCGGAGAAGGGAGAGGAGGAGGCGGGGTGCAAGGGTGAGAGGGTGAGGCGAGAACTGCGTCATAGGACCCCAGCGGCAGCAATGGCTGAGGCACTGCCCGAGTCCAAAGAAGCATGCGCAACCACACGTTGAAACCTGACTCCCCCTTCGCCTGGTGCGAGTTGCCAACGCACCCACCAGCCAAGTGAAGGCGAACCTCTTCAGGGAGAGAATGCAGCCCGCCCGCCTCCGTTCACTTCTTCCAGTAATAGCCTAGACAGATCGACCCAGAAGGATCGACCTAAGTTGGAGCCCGGGCTGCAGCTCCGCGAACGCATTCTCCCGCCCTTCATACGGAGGTGTGAGTGGCCAGGACGACGACTGGGAGGGAGTGGGTCGCCCTCAGAGTCCCCTAGGGGGGTTCCTCTGCTTCACACGGTCCGGCTGGGGTCTTTCTTCTTCCGAGTGGCGTCGAGCGTTGCCCTCGAGCATCTGTGACGGATGAGGGATGCTTCTTCTTTTGGCCAAATGTGCACGCGTGTGGTCTGATTATCGAATCGCTTCGCTCATTCCGCCGGCCCGTGGGGGACTCTTGGGGGCCTCCTAGGGCCTCCAAGGTGCCTCTTAGAGCCTCTTGGGGGCCTCTTGAGGGCGTCTTGGGGGCCTCCTGAGAGCTCTTGGGGGCCTCTTGGGGCCTCTCAGGGGCGTTTTGGGGCTTCCTGGAGGCCTTTCAGGACCGAGGGCTCGAAATGTTGTTTCGTGCTCCCCCTCTGGGGCCGCTCTTGGGGCGCTCTAGGGGCCCCATTGGGCCGTCTTGGAGGCCTCTTTGGCCGTCTTGGGGCCCTCTTGGGCCGTCTTGGGGCCCTCTTGGGGCCCTCTTGGGCCGTCTTGGGGTGCTCTAGGGTCCCCATTGGGCTGTCTTGGGGCCCTCTTGGGCCGTCTTGGGGCCCTCTTGGGGCCCTCTTGGGCCGTCTTGGGGCGATCTTGGGGGCTTCTTGGGCGGTCTTGGGGCGTCGGGAAGCCGAAAAGGTGGAAACACCAGAATCATTCCAAAATCGAAGGAAAAGCAATGATTGTTGCATCTTGGGCCCTCTTGAGAGTGCTCTTGGAGGCCTCTTGGGGCGTCTGGGGGCAATCTTGGGCGTCTTGGAGCGACCTTGTGGCATCTTCGAGCCCTCTTGTAACATCTTGGAGGCCTCTTGGAGGCCTCTTGACCCTTCTTGGGGCTCTCTGGAGGGTCTCGAGGGCGGCGCCCAGACGGAAAACCATCTCTGATCCGATCCTGCCGGGGTACTTTTCCTCCGGGGACCCCCAGGGGCCGCCCCTCGCGCGCGAAACAGAAATACTCTAAAGCAGTTACCGGAGATCTTAGCACGCATCTGGCCCGTTGGGCCGGCGAATTGTGGTTTGAGTTGCTGCTGCACGCAGCTTCAGCCTCTTGATCTGCTGCAGCGTTACCCAGAATCCGTCTTGAGCGTCTCGATTCAAGATGCGAGCGGACACAATGCCAGAAGACAAACCCACACCTCGTCTCTCGCAGCTGTCTGACCACTCCGAGCGGTAGTCGGTGCAAGGTGTGCCGCCGTGTCCGTGGGGCGGGGTGGTGGTGCTACCCCATCCACGGGCAGGGCGTGCTTCATTACCAGCCTCGAACGTATCCCTATTCCCTAAGATTGACACGCCAGAAGGCGATGACAATCTTAGGGATTGCCATCAAAAAATAAGGGAATCCCTAAGATTGGCATCGTGATGAGGAGGTGCCCAGCATAACCCGAAGAAGCAATTAAGACCCCCCCGGGGGATATCTTAGCACCGCAATTTTATTCAATATTCCGAGGGGCCATTTTCGCCGAACGATGTCTTTAGCACCCGGCAGAAAAAATGATGATGTGAAGGACGAGGGTGACGAGAAGAAGGTGGAAGAGAAGGGCGAGGATAGGGATATGTTCCAGGCTGGTAACTTCAAGGAGATGGGGGGCCATACCCTGGCGCCAGCGTCCGGGATCCCAGCTGCCTGGCCCCAGGACCCCATTCCCCCAGGGGCAGACGCTCGGGGAAGCGTTTGCCTGGTGGTTGTCGACCTTTCAAGCAGTGGCAAGGCGTCCCGGCTCGCCTATCGCCCCACCAAGCAGTGTTCTGAGAACCTCTTGTGGTCCCCACGAAATGTTCTCAGAGCAGTTCCGGCGGAGTCTGTCTCGTTTTGGTCACATCGGGGGTTATGTTCTAAGAAGCTTGTTTTTGTTCTTAGAACATCTCTGGGTTCTAAGAACATTTGGTGGTATGACTAATGGAGGATGATGATTGAAAAATTACCGGGGGTCGTGTTCTTGCGGCGGCGCCCAGGATGATGATTGGAAAAAACCGGCCCCGGGCTGGGAAACTATTTTTTTAATCGTCCCCCCCCCGCCGTCCTCGGGCGCGCGCCCCCCCCGGTGACGAAACACCGCACAGGCGAGCCCTGCTTCTGAGCGTCCCCCCCCGGTGTGGGAAACTATTTTCTTCATCGTTCCCCCCTCCTTTTTTTCTTAATCGTCACCCCACATTATAGGAATGCCGGGACGGTCGGTCCCTGCTCAAACCTTCTCTCCGACCTCCACCTGGGCCTCCGTCTGGACCTCGGCCCCGTGCCCGGGCTCCCCCGGCGGGCTCTCCGCGCCGGCCCTCTGCCCTCGGCCCCCCCCCCTCTCGACCTCCACGCCGATCCTCCTCCTGCTGCTCCTTCCCCTCCCCCTCCTCCTCCCTCCTCCTCCTCCTCCTCCCCCTCCTCCTCCTCCCCCTCCTCCTCTTCCTCCTCCTCCTCGTCTTCCTCCCCCTCCAGTCACGATCTCGCCCCCGCGGCTCTGCGGTCTGGCGAGAGGTGTGAGGCAGATGCAGCCGTGGCGGCGAGTCGAGGGCCCTCCACGAGTGCCCCGACGTGGGAGAGGCGTCACATGTCTGGAGGTTCTCCTCCGCGTCCTCCTCCTCCTACTGATCCTGTGCGCCCATGTCTCTCCCTTTGCATATTTATCCCTCTCTTTCTCTCTCTTTCCTTTTTTTTTTTTTCTCTTTCTCTCTCTCTCTCTCTCTCTCCTCTCTCTCTCTCTCTCCTCCTCTCTCTATATCTCACTCTCTCTCTATATGTTTACATGCAGTATAGATGTATATATGTGTATATATGTATGTTTTTCTCTCTCTCTCTCTCTCTCGGGACGGTGACGACGGCGCTGCCGAGGCCGCGGCACCCTCGACGCGTGGCGGAGGCCGTCCGGGCGCCGCCCGCCCGGCCCGGCCGTCCGCGCCCCTTCGTGCCGCCGTCGCACGGCTTCGTCCTCGCCGGCCTCGCCTCGCCCTCGGCGACACGACGGCGGCGAGGACGAGGCCGCCCGGCGGCGGCGTCGACGGCGAATCGCGTCGGCAGAGCCGTCGCCCTCGACGACACGACGGCGGCGTCGTGTCGTCGGGGGCGAGGACGCTGCCACCGCGATTCGCCGTCGACGCCGCCGCCGGGCGGCCTCGTCCTCGCCGCCGTCGTGTCGCCGAGGGCGAGGCGAGAGCGGTGTCGACGCGATTCGCAGCCCACGCCGCCGCAGGACGGCTGCGGCTTCGTCCTCGCCGCCGTCGTCTCGTCGACGGCGAGGGCGGTGTCGACGCGATTCGCCGTCTTTGGGCCTTAGGAGGGGAGGAGGGGGAGGAGAGGGGAGGAGGAGGAGAGGAGGAGGAGAGGGGAGGAGGAGGAGGAGAGGAGAAGGAGGAGGGGGAGGAGGAGAGGAGGAGGAGGAGGAGGTGGAGGAGGGGAGGAGGGAGGAGGAAGGAGGAGGAGGAGGAGGAGAAGGCCTCCTGCCGCCGCGGCTGGATCCGACCAGAAGTTCACGTCGGAGCGCGCCCGGGGAGAGAGGTCGGGGCCGCCCTTCGTCGCTGTCGCTTCTCCTGGGAGCACCAGGTTTCTATCGGAAGCGTTTTGTTTTTTTTTTGGGGGGGAAGCCATCGCGTTCGCAACAGCGCTCTGATGACCTCGTACATTTGGGTATATGCTTGGTTTCCTGGAGGAGGAGGAGGAGGAGGAGGAGGAGCAGGAGCAGGACGAGGAGGAGGACGAGGAGGAGGAGGAGGGGAGGGGGCGGGGGAGGAGGAAGGAGTTCGCAGGGGGATCCTTGGGCGAGTGGCACTGCCTTCGCCCGTGCGGTTCGCTCTCTGTGACTTCGTACGGTTTTGGGGTTCGATTGCGGCACAATTTGCAATCATCTTCCAGTGATCGGCATTCGCATGCAAAAACCCTGTGTTCGGTCGGTGGGCATCTCCGTCTGGTGGATATGTTAGGCCCGACCTCAGCCGGTCGTACCTGCCAATGCCGGTTCGCCGCAGGCGAAATTTGTTTTGCCCAGCCACCAGGTTTCTTGTTTGGAGTAATGATGCCTAGTGACCGCTAGGAGCTAGGATATTGCTTGGCCGCCCATGATGGATCTGCCTTGCCTTCCCACGGGCGTCGATGCTCACGCAGCACAGGCCAGCGCAGAACAAAAACATACACCCATTCGACCACCAGCTTAGGTGGACGTAATTCGCCTCCGTAGCTGCCGCTGCCGCCGTTGTCGTCGTCGCCTCGCGCCACTCTGCAACCCGAGGCCGCCAGATCCCCAGATCCCCCGAGTGTCCCCGAGTTTTCCGCCTCGCGCCGGCAAAGCATCAACTGACAGGGCGGAATGTTCAAAACAAACAAAAACAATACACAAGGCAGCACTCTATTAAAACATGTGGCAGAACAGAGCATAACAGCACACCACCAACAGAACAGATCCGAACATTCCTCAATAGTTTTACATAGCATATCATACCATAGCACACAATGACAGAGCAGTGCATACCATTGCACTGCATCGCAGCATTTCATACGCCATAGCCCAGCAACACACGCATACCATAACAACACATCGCATGAGCGAACATACCATCACATCATATGCCACAGCCTCACATAGCATGGCATGGCATATAGTAACACAACCCAGCATGACAACGCTTGCTGTGGCCTACTCGGGCATACATTGCATACCAGAGCAGAGCATATCATAACATGACGAAACAGAGCATACCATAACACACCATGGCATAACACACCACAACATACACTGTATCACAGCCCATTCAGCATGGCATATTGCATTGCAGCACTGGTGACAAATCCTATCATGGCAGAGTGCGGCAGAATATGTGGCACCATACCAGAACATAATTCAGCACAGCATCGTAAGCTATGGGAGAATGGGAGACTGGATGATACATAGCAGAGCATAACAGCACACCTCCTAACCGAGCATATCACAACATGCCATGTCAGAACATACCATCACATAACACACCGTGTCAGCACATATCACACCGTACCAAAGCATCACATCACGTACCACTTCGTACGCTGATTCATCATATCATGCCAGACCCCGGCATTGCACTTTATAGCATAGCATACCATCGTACATCA